CTTTTCCTTTATTCTCCTCTCAGGATCTTGGGCATGCACCACATGCACCCAGTGTGAATTTAAGTTACCGGGTCTGAGACTTGAACTGTGGACAGATCTGAGGGAGTCCAGCAATGTAACCATTACGCCATCTGCAGGTCCCTAACTTTACATTCTGTATGTCTGTCAAGTACTTCCTCTCTAAGCCTCTCCCAGACCCTGCCCCTAAGTACCCACCCCCTTACCCTGTAATGTCTGATAGCCACCCTTGTCTTCCTTACCATTATGTCTTTGGGTCTTTCCATTCCTGTCAGAGTGCAGACACTTAGTACATTGAGCGGGGTATGCAGTGCTTTTCTTTCATAATCTGGCTTACTTTGTTTAGCACCAAATAATCTATGTTCATCTACTTTGTATCAAATAAGAGGGTCTCAATGTTTCTTATGGCTGAGTAATATTCCACAATGTGTGTGTACCACATTTTTTCAACCTAGTTATCCATTCTTGGGCACTTGGGTTGGTTCCATGTCTTAGTAATTGTGAATAATGTTGCAGTAAACATGAATATGCAAGTGGTTCCATGTCATATCAGGAACCACAGTTTCTCCAAAATAGCAGTTTTCTAAGGGATAATCACAGGTCTTCTCTGGGCCTAAACTTGCTGTCTTTCTATTTTCCTTTACTTTGGGTAAATACCAAGGAATGGGATTATTGGGTCAGAAAGTTGGAAATGTAGGGCCTGTCGATGGCGCGGTGGTTAAGGTGGCTGGATCCTAAGTGGCCAACTGCACAGTTCAAGTCCAAGATCCGGCATCCTGATCTTGGACTAGGCACATGTGCATGTGTACCCAAAATCTTGAAAGAAAGGAGAAGTGGAGAAGGGATTGCAGCATGACCATCTCCTATGTGGGATGCTTTTTCACTTTTTCTTATTCTCTATCTCTGTTTATCATGTGCATGCACCCTCTGGCAAAAATGAAAGTTAAGTGGGAGCAGTGAATGTACTTTCTGACCCAAGGAGACTTAATAACATGAATTTTTTTAAAAATTTATTTTGGATGGGAGAAAATGCATTCTGTAAGTTTATAAATTGAGCCTGTGGTAAACAGGATGCTTACTTTCATTCTGGGAGCCACTATCCCTTGCAAATAAGAAGCCCAGAAATGAAGTGACTTGCTCATGGTATCATGGGGAATTAGTGACAATGTTGGGCCCAGAATCAGCCCACTCTTCATCCCATTTGACTGCGCGTGTGCACACACACATGCACATGCACACACACACAGTACATCCACATGCGTGTATGTTTACACACATACGTTCTATCTCTGTAGCCAGTTCCACGGAATGCAACAGAAACAATATGACCCTGGAAGACAGCCAGGCTTGCAAGGGTAAGGATTATATATAAGAAAGCAGCAAGTTTAGGCCCAGAGAAGACCTGTGATTATCCTTCAGAAAACTGCCATTTTGGAGAAACATTGGTTCCTGATACTACATGGAACCGCCTAGTCCCCACAGCAGATCTCTCTCTCTGCCTGCCTGAGACATGTGTCCCCTCTTTGACATGCTACCTTCAGCACAAGTTAGGGCTTCCCAGAATGCCCTTGCCACCAGAGTAGCTCATATGTGGAACCTGGAATGGCCTGAGCACAGACTCATTCTGTAAAAAGCCAGTTCACAAGGTATACAGTTCCTCCAGCATGCGCAACTCTCACCTGTCTTTTAACTTGCCTTTCCTGCCCTAATTGGCCCGTGTTCTGCTGTCCTTGCTCTGTAGTCCAGCGGAGGCCTGGCGCCCAGCAATCTAATCATTCTGGTGCTAGCGTATAACTCAGCCACTTATTTGCATACCTAAATAGTCATTTAACATAAAATACCGGGAAGGTCACTTCTCGGCCACTGAGATACTGAAGAAAGTAGATAGAGTGCTTTTCATCACAAGTTGCGAGGACTTCAGGCATTTCAGATTTTCATTAACTCTATTGATTCTGTTGCCAATAAAGAAATGAAATGAGAAATTATTTTAAAATGGGGTTGGGAGGCAGAATTTTACAGATCAAAAATTATAGAATGAGAGTCCGCAACTCCTGGGGTGCCTGTCTTCTTTTCCCCCTTGTCCTTAGTAATAATTAAAGGAGGGGGAAGCCCTGGCGAAGTGCCTGTGACGTGAGGCTGGCTGTGCCGTAGACCCAGGATGGCGCGCACAACAGAGATATCGACCCAGACTCTACAGTCACGCCAGCCTGCAGCAAATCCTCTGGCACCCACAAGCGAAGAGTGATACTGTTGTTCTTTCTTTATTGTCACTGTAGGTAGACTGAAGTGACCTGGTAATTCAAAAGGGAGAATAATCCCCAAATCATGCACGTTTGCCTTCAGAAGGTGATGTTTTATTGTTGGGTGTGAGTTGTTAAATCCCTGATGTCTCCCTCTAGACATCCAGCCACATAAATCTAGCTGCACACAGGACACCTCTGCTGGAAAGTCTCACCCAAACAGACTGACTCCTGCCACCTGAGCCTCCTACTCTCCTCTTCAGGTAGTACTTGTGGTGACCTCTTTTAGGACAGGAGCCCAGGGTGCCATGCCAGGAAGCTGCTTGTTTTCTAGCTCTTCTTGGCCCTCCCCTCCCCTAAATGATAATGCATCCTCATCCTGCTCTCTGTAGCTCTCTGCCCACTTGTTAGACGCCACTACCCGGTTCCAGGTCCTCACCCCACTGGGATGCTCTAAAGGCCTCCTAACCATTCTCTCTGCCCCATCTCTTTTCCTCCATTCCACAGCTCATATTACTATCCAAGCTCACTTCACAATTCATTGCTCAGCCTAAAACTCCACCGGCAGTGGCAACATGTGGTCCATGTTTCCCGAAGCTTCTGTACGGGGTTCTTCATGGGCAGCCCATGCCATCTACCTCCCAAACCACATCCTCTCCTCCATGTGAGGCTCCAGAAGCTCAGCTGAGTTCTTTCAGGGTCCTCTGCACACTCGGCTGCCCCTTAAGTCTGCGTCTTTGCTCATCCCTCTTTACCTAGAGCACACATCCTGCTGGCACACCTTCACTTGGCTGATTCGGACTCCTGAGCTGAGGCTCAACTCAGGCACCGCCTACTCCGGGAAGCCATCATTGCCCCGCCCCCCATCAAGTATAAGTGAAGTACCTCTCTCTCCTGTGCTCTCTAGCCCTTATTGGCCTCTATTACCATAGACAGATTTTCTTTTCCTTCCTTCCCTCCTTTCTTCTAATTTTAATCAAGCTTTTGTTTGTTTGTTTTGTTTTGTTTTGCCAGCTTGCAATTAAATTGTAACTACAGTCCATGTCAGCTTTCCACACTGGTATTTACACCACTTCAACTTAAGAATTACATTTTAGTCATTCTTTACTTCTCTGTTGCTTTGGACACTGCCTAGCACATAGCAGTTATCCCATAAATGTTTATTAAGTATAACCAAAGAGCAAATTCACTTTTCTGTTTAAAGGGAAAAATGGAATAAAGCTATGGTTTAATCTCCAGTAAAGCAGGTGTAATCTTTGCAGCTTTGCAGCTCAGCTCTTCCTTATTCCACTCTGTAACTAGGCTGCAGGTTTAGCCCTTTCTAAAGTTGAACAGTCCTCTTCCCCAAATGTACTGCTCATCCCTTTCCTGGCATGTCTCACTTGACTTCTCTGGGCAGAAAACTACAGAAAATCCTACATAAACTGACTAGAATAATAAAGAGGACTTCTTGGCTCAGGTCCTAAGGCAGTCCAGAGACAAGGTGGAGGTCCGGCGAGGCTCAGTCAGGGTGCTCCCCGTTTCCTGCTGTTGTCTTCACCCTTTCTCTTCCATTGACTCCATCCTCAGGCTGCTAGCAGAATGGCTGGAGCAAATTAAAGTCAGGGTCATACATGACAGCATCAGAAGAAGAGAAGCTTTATCTAAAGAACTGGGGTTCTGGGACGAGACTAGCAGATGGCATAATGGTTACATTGCTGGACTCCCACATGACTGACTGTGGTTTGAGCCCCAGACCTGGAGGCTTGAAACTCATGCTGGGTGTGTGTGCGTGCATGCCCCAAATCCTGAGAGAAGAATAGAGGAGATAGGATTATGGCGAGGCCATCTCCCCAGAGGTGATTTCTCACCTTCTGTCTCTCTCAGTTTCTCTGTTGAGTGCATGTAACCTACAGGAAAACAAACAAAACACTAGGGTTCTGTTTTCTCTGAAGTTCCCAGCAAACTTCCTCTCATGCTGCTTTATTGTACTGGACTGGATCACATTTTTATTTTTGAAATTATCTTATTGGCTGGGAAATATCATACACTGATTGACTTAAATCTGGCATTCTGAAGAACCAGAAATCCCTAGAGCTGGTCAGTTCCCCGTGAAATGTGTGGGCTGCATGAAAGAGGGGCGGACACCTAAATAAAACAGGTTTAAAGGTGGGAAGGAAAATGGCTCAGTGTTCACTGTGCTAACATCAGGTAGTACTTACCCTCCTCTGGTTCCCTGTGGGTTATAGCAGAAATCCTGGAACTGAGAAGTTGTGTGTTACAGAAAATTTGATCAAATTTAGAATCAACAATGTGTGCAGTTAGGCAGCATTTTAAGTGGAACAGGGGTGTGTAAGGATGCCCTGTTGCTTCCTATGAAAGTTTCTTCTACAAATGCAATAGGGCATTGATTAAACCACTGAGCTGTCCCCTCAGCATTTCCTAAAGAAAGCATAGGGCCTTTTTCAAGGTTTCTAAAAGTGTTTACAAAAAAGTAGAAGGTAACAGGCTAATAAACAGCTTCCCCTCCAATGTCCTCCATTCTTCACTCATTTTCTCTTTGTCCTTAGGCTCCATACAGGAACACAGAGACTGCTGTTGGGTCCTTAAGCTAAAAGTGAGGGCTCTCCTGGGAAATCAGGCAGTGGCCCACCCCAATTCTGATTCTCTCTGGGCACGTGACAGAGGGCTTTGTCTTTCTTCTAGTAGCTCTGACCACTCCAGATCCATGACCTGTTGATGATCTCTCCTTGTCCCCTCTAGATGTTCGACTGGATAAGCCACAACAAAGAGTTATTTCTCCAGAGCCACACAGAGATTGGAGTCAGCTACCAGCATGCCCTAGACCTCCAGACGCAGCACAACCACTTCGCCATGAACTCCATGGTAAGTAGAAAGGTGGGCAACTTGGGCTGGGGAGGAGGAACAGGGCACCTGAGTGAAAATGAGGACCTCTGAGCATATGGACCCTTTTGCATTCAAGTTGCCAAAAGTGGGGGTGTAGGCAGGGCAGGTTGCCCACCAGCAGTTCCTGCAGCAGATTATGTCCTCAGTTCTACCTCAGGTCCCTGCTTTACCCGGCAAAGGAATGTGCTCAGAGCTGTGGGAGGCATTAGTTAGCACAAGAGAAGGGCGAGTCACCACTTCCACTTTGCTGACTTAACTGACATATTTTTTGGTCCCTAATAGTGTGAGTCACTAGGCTGGGATGGCTAGAGGCCTCAAGCTATGGCACATTGGGTACAGTTGAGTGAACTGGGACTGTTTAGACTGGGAAGAGGAACCCCAAGGGTTTGCTGCCTTCAAGTACTTGAAGGGCTACTGTGGAGAGAAGAGAGAATTGCTCTGTTTTGGTCTGGGAGGCAGAAATGTCCAGGGGATGGAAGTTTGAGGGAGAGAGAAGACATAGCTGGAGGGGCTGTTTAGAAGAGTAGGGTTCAGAGAGAATTACTGAGCGTCTTGTAATGGGGAGTATTTAAGCAGATGCTAACTTCAGAGAGGCCTCTTCACTAGCTATGTGGCCATAGGAAATTTATTGTACTTCTCTGTGTGTTAGTGTTTTCATTTATACCATATAAATAATAGCTACCTTATAAGGTTCTTATGAAAATCCAATGAGTTTATTGTAAAGCAGTTGGAACTGTGCCTGGCACATATTAAGTCATCAGTAAATGCTGGTATTATGACAGTGATGCAAAAGTATGAGTCTAGTCCAAATGACTAGATGCCTAAGAACCTAACACTTTAGGATACTATTTTTTCCACATGGGTGCCCCAAGGCTTTATTTTAAAATCCTTTGTGTTCCTTAAACACATTGTATTCCAGATACCTTCAGCCTAAGTATGCCTCTACCTGGCACTCTCTCCTCCATCTGCCAACACTTCTTTCTTTCTTTCTTTCTTTTTTTCTTTTTTTGGAGAGATTTTCGCTATAGGGCGCGTGCGCTCGCCAGACAGAGAGAGACATAGAGACAGAAAGCGAGAAATCACCCCCCAGGGGGGATGGTCATGCCGCAATCCCTTCTCCTTCATTCTCCTCTCTGGATCTTGGGCACACACGCACATGTGCCTGGCGTGAGTTTTAAGCCACCGGGTCCGGGACGCGAACCACGGTCGACTACGTGGGAGTCCAGCAACATAGCCATTATGCCAACTGCTAATTCCCCCAGCACTTCTTTCTTGCAGCATTGGTCCAAAAGAGTCATTCTGCCATTTCCCATACATCTGAAAACCAAAGTTACTTATCATTGCAGTTGGTGATGCTTGGAGTAGGACAAGTGTTAGAAAAACATAACATGGAGGATCACAGAAGCCAAGGAGGATGAGAATTTAATTTTCTCATTAATGCTCTGCACTGGAGTTAATATGCTGAAGAAGTAATTCTGGCTTCAAATTGTTCAGTGTCTAGTTGGAGAGAGAAAAACCTAGATGATCGTGATATAGCTTGATGTGTGCAATGATAAAGAGATGCTCAGTTAACCTTAAAATCTCAGTATTTTGAAACAATAGAGGTTCATTTCTTTCTCTTACCACATACCCATCACTAACTCTGCTCATCAGTGCCACTTAGGGACCAGGGTGGATGGCTGCCAGTTGCCTTGCTGGGAAAAGCAGGTAGTCAAGCACACACTGGTTCCGAAACCTTCACCTAGAAATGACACATACGCTCGCATTGGCCAGCCCTAATCACACCACATCTACATCTGAGTGGTTAGGGACTTACCACATGCTGGGAAGGAGAAAGCAGGAGAATCATAACAGTCCTAATGACTGGTCATAGAGCTGTCACAGGGTGCTGGACAGGTGTGAACACCTTGAGGTATGCACACAATGGTTACTCTGCTTGCCCAGTAGAAGGCTGTGAGACAAGGCAGGGAACACCAGCATTGATTGGTAACAGTTTTGGCCACAACACAGTTTTGTGTCTTCATCTAAATGTAAAGACTCATTCCCTTCCAACTCGTCTCATGTAATTATTTCTCATCTCTGGCTCACTTTAGTCATGGAGGAGCAAAGCAATTGATCACAGGTGATTAAGGACGGGAATGCAAATCTAGTCAAGTTTGATTATCTATGTGCCTTGTGAATTTCCCCTGGTGAGTTTTACAGATTCTGTGCCAGAATCTTCACGTCACCCAACTGCCTGGCCCTGAGGCAGACAAACTCATTTTAATAAGAAACAAAGACAAACATAATTAGAGAGGCAAGTCTGCCACCAAGCCCTTGGAAACAATGAACTACAAAGCTAAATAGAAAGAGCCTTTGGCTTTGAATTATCTGCACTATTACTCTCCTCTGTTAGTATGGATAACTGAGAGCTAATAGCACATCAGAAGCCTTTCCTCTGACACATAGACTGTTGAAGTCTCCATTTTTTAGGACAAAAATAAGGAAAGCAATTTACTGAAAGGAAGCATCTTCTGGAACTGGGAAAGGGAATAGGAGATTTACTATACAACCACCAATTAGCGTGTTCCAACCCAGCTTGTAGCCTCCTTCCGCCATGAATGTGCACGGCACTCAGGGGCCTCTTTAGCCTGATTAGGCTGGATCTCCTCTCTGGCTGCAGGGCAAGGAAGGGAAATCCCAGGGTTGTTTGATCAAATTTCCTGGGCACCTGTGCTTTAGAAACAGGACTCGGTGCCTTCATTAACCGGGAGGTTTACAGGTTTGTCATGAAAAGAAACTTCCTATGAAAGGGAATATCAGGGTCCTGCACAGGTGAAAGAAGGGAGGAAATTACAGACTCCTTCTCCCTGGCCGGAGCAATGGATGTTGCTGCCAAGAAGCAGACGAAAGCAATCAGCCACTGCTGGCGCCTCGGGACTGGAGGAATGATCAGTTCCTCAGGGGAAGTGGGAAGGTGGGTTGTTCTGTGCATTCACTGAGGCACTTCTGTTCGTGTTCTTGGAAAGTATACATGCATGTCTACATATACCCACATGTTTATACATGCCGATGCACATGTAGCACGTTTTGTTTCAGGTTACAAATGAGTTCTTAAGTATGGAATCTTATTTTACATCTAAAATATGCCAGTTCTTCCTTATTTGGGAGGAAGATCAGAGACCTTTTTGAAATATAATGAAAGTCGTGGGTCCTCTCCCCAGAGAAATATGTACATGAACCATAATTTTTAAGACAGTGTCAGGAAATTAAAGGGAATCCTAACATCTGTCAGACGGCTTCTCTAATTTAAAAGTCCAAAAATCTCACAACTTCTTTATTCACTAATCAAATGAATACTTTAAGATCAGACATTGTATTGGGTATTGAGAATATAGTGGTAAACAAAACAGTGTCCATGTTCTGTGGAGGTTTAGTGGCCAGACAGGTGTTAGATATATAATCTCACAAATTTATAATTATCGAGTCATTGACCCACATAATAATTGGGTCATGACACATTTTTACATTAAAACATAGAAAAATACATCATGGCTTTTCCAGTGACCCAATACAAACCATTAAGTCTTGTGTAGAAAGCTATAACAGATATAACAAAAGGGTCCAATTTAGATGGGGTGAGATCAGGTTATTTTTCAATCAGTAATCGACGTTGGCTTAACATTCATTGTTCATGCAATAAGAGTAATTAACAATATGTGAATTAACTCTACATTGTACCAAAGAATTTATAATTTATGTAAGTCCTATGTATATCAGTTTGTACATGAAAATGATCAACTAATAACTTACCTCTTTTTAAGGTTTTTGTTTGCATGTGTCTCCTGTTTATGTACTGGTTAGAGACAACTTCGACTAAGTAATACATTACTGAATGTATTCATTTTCTAGGACTGCCATAAATAAAATTCCACAGCCTGGGTGTTGTAAACAATAGAAACTTGTTTTCTCACAGTTCTAGAGGTTTGAAGTAGAAAATCCAGGGGTCAGAAAGTGTTGTTTTCAGAGGTCTCTCCCATTAGCTTGCAGAGGGTGACCTTGCCACTGTGCTCTCTCATGGCCTTCTCGCTGTGAGTGCAAATGATGCTGGTGTCTGTCTGCATGTCTTAATCTCCTTATTTCTTATGGACATCAGTCACGTTGATTTAGGGCTCACCTTAATGTTTTCATTTTAGCTTAATTATCCTTTAAAGATCCTATTTCCAAATATAGTTACTTCTGATGACAGTTCTGGGGATTGTATGAATTTGGAAGGATGAAATTCAGCCCATAACACAGAGAAATAATTGTGTATCTTTAAATCATAGGAGAAAAATTGGAAAATTTCTAAGTTTTATTTATGAATTGGTACCAATAAAGGCCACAACTTATTAACATACCAAGTATATGAGAATGATAACCTACTGAGTATAGTGCATAAGCATCCCTGAAAGAAAATAAGTTAAAATGGATTGATTTTTAGAGTTTTGTCATAATGTTTATGCAGTTCCTACTGGAGAATTCTATGTTTGGACTCAATAATAATAGTAAAATAATAATAATAATACCCACTTACCCCAGTGGGGAAATATTTTCTGACTTATTACAGTGCCTCAGAAAACCAGATTTTCTGAGCTCTCTGGGGCCCTCCTCTTTTTTTCTGCCTTCTGTTGTGGAAGCCTTTCTCATAAAGTTTGCTTCTCCTGAGTGTGGCCTTCTCTGATGGGAGTGTGGGCAGATGGAAGTACAGTTGAGTTATAATATTCACTGTTGGGTTGTCATGTAGTCATCCATGTTCTAGTTCTTCATGATAAAGACACTCACAGGAATACAGACAAACATAACACAGTCTTATTTACAATTTTAATTAGCTAGTCCTTGGGAGGAAAAATTAATCCTAATGGGTCTGTCTAGAGTTCTAAAATATGAAATAATACTCTTTCTGTTACAACCGTGAGGATTCACATCAGCGATAACAATGTACAGCTGGGCGGCAGGAA